GTTTGTGGGAGGATCCGTCCCAGAGCAATAAGAGAACCATTGCCGTTAGCAGACACCCCCTCGCATTCCACTGCAGATTTGCTCCTTAGTAGCATCCTAGCATTACTCACTAATCAGCGTTCTAGGAGAATGGTTCAGCATAAGGCTATAACGCTATCCGGTTGGTTTCGGAGTAACTATATGCCCACCTTGAACAACACGATTGACTCAGTATGTCGCTGAAATCGAAAGTTGATAATTTTCCAAAGAGGATCATACTCAAGAACCTCGACCCTTTTACAAGCAATATACCTGCAATGAAAATAATAATATTGTAATAAAGAAAAACCACCATAAAATATAAAAACCGATAAACGTTTTGAGAGCTGCTGCGTTCCAATAATGAGTTGTTTTGTAAACATAGAGGAAATAATTTTCCAAAGGGATGAAAATCCGATGGTTTTTGTGAGCAGTTCTGTCAAAATAAAATCTATATAATTAAGATACCATCATCTACGATAACATAAGATGTTAAAAAAACTATAATTTTTGGTTAAATACGAAATTGTGATTAATAGGTTAATAGTAGCGTATTCTAATTCAAGGCTGATTTCATCATCCGGTAAAGAAAATTATTTAAAGTTATTTATTATTGACAATGACAGCATGATGGAGACCAATCAAAATAAGTGTAACAATTCAAAAAGGCTAATGACACTTTGTCAAATTTATTGAGGCAAGAACGATGAATTTTGGTACTTAAGTTAATTAATTACCTAACATTTCTTCAACATATTTTTGTTAGGGATATAAAATGGCCTTCGGCCAAAAAATAAGAATAATATTTGTTTTTTAAATGTGAATAAGTGGCTCGTTTCCGATCATTTTCATCTGCCCATCCTGGAAGTTTTGTTCTGTCAGATGCATTTGGTAGGTCAGGGTTATAAGCAGTGCTCTCCCTGCTACCAAATACGCAAATCGACAAGACGATGCGAAAGGCCGTAAAACCTGTCTCACAAAGAAAACAGCAAAGATTGGCCAAAATGATCGGAAAAGGCGGTTTATCACCTGGCAAAATTCGCGAGGAAATCTCAGTACTACTAACATAGTTCAAGTTACGGTAAAACTATCATCTATGAATATGTAATTTTTAAGAACAATCTTATTTCTTTTGTAAGAGTTTTCAATAATTTTCTTCGTTGTGTTGTCAAACGCGGGTCGGCGTTTCGCCAAATTCTCTTTCTTGTCATTTTTCTTTGCCGAATCAATCGAGGTTCTGTCTGTTTTATGTAGGTGTTTTTTTGTTCGGTTATGGTGAAATCATAGATGTACTAGATATACAGATGAAAATGATCAGTAACGACCAATTATCCGATTTTATTTCTGTGCTAATTTATAAGTAAACCTCAAGATTCAGGTGGTCTTTTGTCTTGCGCAAATGTACGAAAAGGACTCGAGAATGAAACAGACATGCACAGTACGAAGATGGTGCTAAAATTAAAACACTAGTCTGAAATCATGTATTGCTGTACGGTGAAGATCAGTTTTGTCGTTTCCGAACATATTGGTCCGCTTATTCTTGCTGTTTTGGTCTGTTACATGCATTTCCTAATTACACTATCTTAATTAAAAGGTTTCGGTTGTTTCAAAATTGAGAAAATATTGACAGGTTAAAGGATACGCGGATCAGTAGATTCAGAAACGACGAATTGCATGTTCATAAAAAAAAGGTTGAATAGAAGTACAGTCTTGATCGTATAATAGTTTTAAGTACCGAATAACCATATTAAAAAAAATGAATAGGTTTATTATCTGTATTTAATTAATAGCTTTCTTTGACATACCCAATATAACATTGGTTTTGAGTCAAATATTAATCCAAAAAGCTGTTATTTTCTATGTACGATTGTTGAGACAATACATTATGATCTTTTTTTCTTGCTTTAGTCTAAAAGGTGTAACCGGTCGGACTGGATTGAGTATTTAACCGAGGCAAAATCGACATAGGTCGTGAAGGCGACCGTTTTCAACCCTGGCCGTTATTACCATCGTTTCGTATATTTTGAATTGTTAATTGCCGACATAGATTCGGCGTTTTATTGGAATAACAGTCTTGTAAATGGCGTAATGATCGGACGTTTAAAGAAATAAATTTTACAAACGAGACCTGAAGAAATTTAAGAACATTGAACGTTCAAGATATAGGGATATTTAAAAAACCCGTTATTATTAATTTTCGAAAATCCCCACAAATCCTGCTTTAGATTATGGACAATTTATTAAGCGTATTTTTATACTTCCAATGTAAGAAAGTTTATTTGTATGAAAATAATTAGTGTTATACCGACGTCTCGGCTGTTTATGCCATAGCCATGGTTCATTTTCACAATGAAATAATTAAAATAAACCAAAATTGTATAAAATAAAAAAAGGTTGGTGACAATAGCACGTTATTGTGCTAATATTATTTTCAACAGGCCTTCTTAAATCTGCCCAATAAAAAATATAAAATCTAAGTAAAAATTGAAATCTAGATCAAACGTCATTTGGATGACAAAAATCCATCACTTCATTAAAAATAAAAAAGCTATAAAGTTACATATAGTATAATTATGCATAAACGAATTCATTATTCATTCAATAAGGTGTTCAACAAATCTCACCGTATTTTACATTTTTTCTTTAAATGTAAAGCTCCCGTTTTTACACAATGCCCACATTGATCCGCACACATAAAGTCTTGATCAAATAAAGTTGTTTTTTTGTGTTATTTGCCTATTTTGGACGGTATTTACGAAGAGCGTAAAAGCTGTGAGAGTGCTATTAATAATAATAATTTATTTTTATGTTTATTATGTTTCGTGGTCCGCTTGACCAAATAAATTCTTGTCAATTAATTAATTTTTAAGTAAGGTTTTGGTTAAGATACTACTACTGACTTTTTATCTCAACCAAAACCTTAATTAAAAAATAATAATAACAAGCCAAAAAATTATTTATATAATTTAATAAAAGGAAGAATTGATACATGAAAGTAAGTTTGTCAGCCATTAAGTTGAAAAAAGTCAAAAACCATACGAAAAATGTATACGTTTTTTTAAATTCATAGAGCAACAGGATAAAACTGCAATAAATTTAATATCGTTACCACAATTTTTTTAAATTTATTACGTGCCAAAATAATTGTTTAAGCGATATTTTAAAAACCAATACTTGTTATGGCGAAACGGGCTATTTTGCCTTGACTTTCCATGTCTTCGTTACACTGGAGATAAATAAATCTCTAAATAACTGACAATTTTATTTACGACTCACAACCAACAGTTTGATCCTGTTTTTCCTATCAAAAGTAATTAGGACAATTCGTTAATTTTAATAATAAATTTAACAATAAAGACAGTGTTTTAGATGTTTGCTTTTCCCAATGGAATACGCTTTTATCGGTAGAGCCGAAACAAACACATAAAACTTATACATATTTAAATTTGTACATTAATCATCAGTGTCGAGGGGACTTAGATTTAAAAAAATATATTATACCCAAAACGAAAAACTGTAAGATATTTTTATAAAACGTTCCTTCTGGGAATACAACTCATTCCTTCCTTATTTTTCACGTACTATTTATTTTCTGCTGTTTCATTTTAAATTGAGAAATTATATATAATTGTTTTTTAATTGCTTGAGTTTTTAATTGATTTAATTTTAATGACTTAAGTCCATCAGTTATTGCTGATTTATGGTAGTTTCGCGCGTATCAGTGCAACGTCAACGAGCGAGAATAAACGGACCTAATAAAATTATAAAAATCTATCAGTGCACATATTTACATTAATTACCCTTTGTTATATTAGTTCTGTTATACCATTATTTTTATAGCTACGTGTTTTTTCAAGCAAAAATGCGATTACGCTTTGTGACTAGAACTTTTTCAAACTCACTCTGAATTTTTACAAAATTTACAGAAAATATTGTCAAAAATTTATGTTTTTTCCTTATTCGCTAACTCTCATAAGATATCGCATATCTCAGATCTCTTTTTTTTCTTCTTCACCTACAGATCGAGTTCTTCAGTTTTCATCTGTGAAGAATCTGTATCCCGGTTGGCCTCCAATCAAACTCCCCGTTCGATAAATCCGAAAGTCGGGAAATTTCACGCATCCTTTCTCAAAATTGAAATTCGGCCAAATTTAGCGAGAGGGGGCGGTTCCTCCATGCGGTGGAGCGACCTCGCGGATGCGTGTCGAACCGTCGGGGGTGTCGCAACCGCCCCGCTAGTCGGCCGCCAGCTCTCGTACTGATAGTTCTACTTCGTGCTCGGCTTTAAAAGGCAAATTTCAATTTTAAACGCATAGCGTGCTATAGAGGTTATTTTTGTTTTAAATAAAATTTTGGAACTCGGTAAGGTACTGTAAATCAAGTAAAGAGTTTTTGCCCTATCCTTATCTATTTCGTTTCCTTGTAGAATAGTTCAAACTGTTTCCTTCGCTAATTTTCTTCTACTTCACTCTTCGAAAGATGATTTATACTAAAACTCATTGAATCACCTTTTATCTCATCTATGTATGCCTAGATATTATGAAAAAAGTTTGATTTTTCACACTCCAAAAGAGCTCTATACTTAAACGGTTAATTAATGCTTAAATCTTTGGAGTTATTTGAGATAGTGTATTTCAACTTAACAAATAACCGATTTTATAATAAAAAATTATGTCTCTATTTATATTTAGACTATATAAGCCTGTATAGTCGGAAATTGTTAAATTGTCTCTAACGTTTCCAAATAATTTTTATTTAAATTTAGTCTATAATTAATAATAAATTAATAACTGGCCGGCCGTTTGACGAAGGGGGTTGGTATGTTGATAAGGGCGAGAAACTTGCCAGTGGCGCGATGGGTGGTTCGCTCGTGGAACCAATTAGTCCGGGAAATTTCAAGCACAGCCAAACACCGTTGTTAGTATACCAAACAATTCAAGGCAAATTTTGTTATTTGTGTATTTTGCTTAATGATGACTTACGATACACAAATCCTCTTTTTTTATGGACGGCCGAGGGCTGTGCCGGAAGAGTACGGTTGTTGTTGGCGTCACTGTTGCAGTTAGTTTGTTGTGCCCAGTTGATCATAATCAGAGTACCGAGTCACATAACTGATTGACGACACAATCATACCTTGTGTGGATCCGGGGGCAGCCTCCAGGTTCCGTCCGGCTCCGAAACACACGCACTTGCCTCGAAGACGAATAAATGCACTATTCACTGAATCGTTAGAAAATTTTTCTCTCTCCTCCCGAGACCGGTCGAGTCCGTGGACGTCCGATTGAAGCAAGGTATCGCGAGCGACTGCCAATGCGAGCCCTCCCAACCATCGCTATTATAAAACCTGTGCCTTTCCCCTTGTCCGTCCTGTGACGTCGGGGCCGTGACGTCGTCATCGATCGACCACCCCATTGGAGGCAGGAGCCCGCAAGCGACGTCATCACCGGTGTGACGTCATCTATCAATGACGCGCCTCCGTACTCCCCCGCCCCCGATCGATCGCCGCCTCCACGCCGGCCTCCGTTCCCACAACAGAAAAAGAGTTAGCCGGTCGGATAAGACTCCCGCCCCCGGCCAGCCGTCTGCCACCCCGCATCTCATTTCGCCCTTCGGCCCACCATCTCGAAGAATCCACGTTCTACAGTATCCTATGAACAATTAGTCCAAAATACCAGAAAATCTTGTTGGCTCCGATAGTGATTAATTATTAAGGAAAAAGGTTTTGATATAAAAAGTGTTATGTTTTGTATATTCCTGTGATTTGTATTGATCGTCGTCTCCCATATTGGGACAACTTGTGAGATCGAAAGAAAAACAGTAATATTTATGTTTTTAAATAGTTAGTTTATTAGTTACAGTATTGTAAACCACTGTTATATATTTATGAATTTTGTACATATTTATAAGGTATATACTTGTAGTTAATATAATGTAACAACTTTATGTAAATTATGTAAAAAATATACACAAATATTTTTTTGTATAAGAAAAACAAATGTTGGTTCGCCTTTATCCCATTTTCGACAAAAAATCTCAATACCTACACGAACAAATACAACTGTAAAGCACTTATTTATGAGATTTAAATATATAAATTTGAAAATGGTTTAGAAACAGAGTATGGATAAAATTTAAATAATATAAATTTGAAAATGGTTTAGAAACTGAGTATGGATAAAATTTAAATAATATAGATTTGAAAATGGTTTAGAAACTGAGTATAGATAAAATTTAAATTATATAGATGTAACAAGGTTTAGAAACTGAGTATAGATAAAATTTAAAAAATATAGATTTGAAAATGGTTTAGAAACTGAGTATGGATAAAATTTAAAAAATTCTTGTCTACGACATGAGCACTGCTGAGTTGAAAACTAGAGATGGTATTTTTCATACTTTATACGATAACTAGTGATTGTATTAAGTCTATTAAGTCTAGGCCATTAATGAAGCTAACTTAATTTTAAAAGGAAAGCGTGAATTGTTAAATCAAAATGTAGACTTGTGTGAAATGTGAACATAATGCAATTTAAAACGAGTAAAAAATGTTTATAATTTATTTTGTTGTTTATTTAGTTTGTCCTATTTTGAAACCTTACAAAACAAAATATATTAATAAAAATATACAAATTGAGGGTGAACTTTGTGTGAATCTAAACGGATTAGACCGGGACTGTTTGTCGTACCGATACCTTTATCGTAAAGTAGTATGGCGAAAATTCCATAATAATACTTAAGGTAGTTAAATCGTCAAGGTCGACACGATTTCATAGCGGATCTAAATCCAAAGCACGATTTCTCAGGTTTGATTTTAAATCAGGTAAATAAATACTTAGGAAAGGTGATTATTAATGTATCGTTTCACAGTTGGAGTATTGTCAGTGAACTGCACGGCGGCATTGGAAATTCCGTTCCTAACGGTTCTTAAATCTTAGAAAAATCTCCATGGACCATATACCATTGGTATTTACACTCAAGAAAAAACGAAAAATCGGACAATTGTATTTTGTTTTTTATTTCAAATGTATATTTATGGTTATATTGATTACAACGTACTTATTTTAATATAAACCAAATTAAACAAGATCAGAAATTTATGAGTTTTAGTAAAAAATATTCAATTTTGATGGTTGCTAAGAAAATTCTCTAAAAACCCGAAAATCATTTCGTGATAGGTGAAAATTTCACTAACAATTTATTATCTAATTTTGCACTCGATACCGCCTATTACCTCCTAGGAGGGGCTTTATGATTCCTAGGCATCTAGTAAATAAGAAATCGGATTTCATTTTGTGAAGGAGAATCCCATTCGTCAACAAGAGCGGTTTGAAGCTGTTCAACGCTTGTTGGAGGTCGCGAACGATGTTTAACCCGTCTCTATCAAGTCCCATAATTATGGGATTCATGAGCGTGCTGGCCAATTCATTGTGGTAATACCTACATCCTCCAAGTAATGGGTAAAAACCCAAGCTACACCCAGTCAAACATTATGATGCGTTAACACGAATATGTCCCCAATAATGAATGGAGCGAATGAGACCAGGAGAAATTCCTCAATGCACCTTAGTGCAGTCAAAGAACCATTCTGTATAATAATGAGTTGATGATACTTGCAAGGTTGATTCCATCCATGACATAACTATCTTTGAAAAGGTGTCTCACGTACGGCATCAGAATCAAAGCATTCCCCGCGTTTTCGACGTACACGGTCCCGGTCATCTAATTGCCACAACCCATACCGGCAGTGATCTGTGAAGAGAGTCTTTCTATTCGATGCCTCTCCAGTAGTCGAGAACCTGACGCGGACGTCTAGAGACTAGGCTATTCTCACTGTTTAATGATGACTGTTTTAGAGTTCATCTTTATTACGTATCATTTCGAGTTGACTACCTATGAAGGGTGCAGTAAAATGGTGGGTCCGTAGTGAGGTATGAGAAATAAAACGACCGTCTCTAGCCGTCGTACATCCTGTGGCCCTATCCCTGGACGGTATAATGCTAACTAACGGACGCTACTTCTGTCGTTGCCCAATTTATTGTTTAATTAAAGAAAACAATTTAATTAGCCACTCGAAAAGTTGGCTCTGGAAAGGATGAAATTGAACTAGTTTTCTTTATTTTTAATTTAAAAAGTGTAAAAATACCATAAACTTAAAAAGAAATCAGTAATGTTATGTTTTACTGATTTAACTTAACAATTAATTTTTATACCTAGTTATTATAAAAAAAGAATGGGAAAACCGCTGGGCTCGAAGAAATAGAATTAACCCTGCCAAACTGTAGCAGGTTAAGAAAGAAATCGGTCCCTGGTCCACGGAGAACGGTTCGAAAAGGGAAAAGGACATACTGACAAGATTACGCATAGGTCATACAAGAATAACGCACGGGCACCTTCAGGCCGGAAAGCGACCGCGTAGGTGCCCGTTATGTAAGGATAGAATAACGGTCGAGCACCTCTTCAAGTGCAGAAGGCTTGATGTATATAGACAATATTTTGGCATATCATCGGACCTGTGCGTAGTCTTGAGACACGGCAGCGGGCACAGATTGCTGTTCCGGTACCTCAGGGTATAGGGATTTTTAAATGTGTATAGTTTTATGTGTTTGTGTTGTGTCTGTGTTTGACTTTAAGTTAATTTATTGGAATGAATGTAATTTATTTCATGAAAGGAAGGGGTGATTTAACCCCGCCCCGAGGAATATCAAAGACTCTGGGGTGAGTGTGTGACGTCTGGAGAGTAAAAGTAAGTTATTAGCGAGAGCGGAGAGGGTTCAACCCCGCCCCGAGGAATATCGAGTACTCTGGGGGAGTGAAAATGACCGTACCTCTATGTTTCTATCGAGTTTTGTGTTTGTGTTAATTTATCGGAATGAATGTAATTTATTAGCGTGAAAGGAAGGGGTTGCTTATAACCCCGCCCCGAGGAATATCAAGTACTCTGGGGTGAGTATATGACGTCTGGAGAGTAAAAGTAATTTATTAGCGTGAAAGGAAGGGGTTGCTTATAACCCCGCCCCGAGGAATATCGAGTACTCTGGGGGAATGAATGTGACCAGACATCTATGTTTGTGGTGATGTATATATATGTATTGTATGTTTTGTTTTTATTCTGTATTTGACAACCTGAGGTACAAACGAGAGACTAGCATTCTAGAATATCAACGTAGTATATATCTGAAATCAGAAAGTCAGTAACCAGATCGAGACGCTCAAATGGCTGCAGTTTAAAACAAAATATGCGCGAAAGAAAAGAAAAAGATGAAAAACACGCAGAGGGCCGGCGATGACCTCAGCTGTTTGTCGGCCCATAAACTTCCCACTTATATATACCTAGTTATTATGAAAAATAAATAAGTAAATACTAGTCCGGTGTTTCGTACTAATTGTCAACCTGTTCCCATGATCTTCAGAAAGTGAGTGGATTTGGCTAGTTGGATGGGGGTTGTTTATAGATAAGTGTGTTTTAGTCCACTTTTCAAGTCATTATTAGTAATACTACAAAATGCTCTTAAATTTTCGAAGACTTCAATACTTTTATTAAAAATTATTAAGTTGATAATCAAAATTAACGATACTTAATATACTATACATGTTAATTGTATTAAATCGCTAAACAGTCAAGGCCGACACGATTTCATAGCGGATTTACTTTTCAAGCATAGGATAAATAAACACAACTTTTCATTCTGATTAATTTATTTTTTATTTGATTCTTTATTCATTTTTGTTATGCTTTTTTCCCGTTAACTACTTAAATTTCAATGTCACCACTTAGTACGATAATGCACTTATAAATGTAAAACAATCTTTGATAATCATTTAGCATTTTTTCCGATCCTCGCTTAAACAACTTAAAATGATTGGATGTGAAGATAACAAAATGTAGAAATGTGTCTGATAACCCAAAACAACGAGAATAGGCAGATCCGATGATCAGAAACGACAAAGCTATTTATTACTCTACAGAACAGGTGACATTGAAATATCCGCAATTTAAAACCTACCATATAAGGAAGCATCTGAATTCGACCTTATTACAGCTTCCATTCTTCCTAAACAACCGCAAAAAGCACCCAACTGTTGGGTTCAACCTCAATCGATAGCAGACCTTGCAGAATATATTTTATGTTTCCAACAGTACTGCATACAATTTCTTAAACTTTAATTTTATTAAAAACATTGCGAGAGCTAGTATACAAGAAAATCACCAACATCTCCAATCACACTTCGTTCCTCACATTCGGCCCCATTTTGGTTTTGTGACTGATCAATTTATTATATGTTTAATGTTAGTTAATAATTAATGTTACTAGCTATTGTAGTATAATATTTTCTGTTTAATATTTTCTG